TCTTCCTTACTACAGCTCGCAGTAGGAATCCTAGTTCATTCGCTTCTCCCGCCCCCCTCTTAATAAAAAATAAACAACGTGCTCTTCCATCTGCATCTCCAAATCAATAAATGCTTGTTCAAGATCAAAATGGAATTAAAAACAAAATGCGTTCTCGATACACACAAAACGGTCTTGGTAACTGTGACTCGAAACAAGTGATACAATGGTCAGACCCGGAAATTCAACGGATTTTGCGTTCACACGGCAGTAACTGCAAAAAGAAATAAAGACTACGGAACTATTAGCATTAAATATAAATAAGACCACTAACCAAACATCCACGAAAAGCGGCTTGAATCTTAACGGCTGCCCATTCTTCACGGTTAGCGGTGCTTTGCGCCGTGGCTTGGACGCATCTGCCGCCGCTACGAAGTCTGAGTGCAGGAGCTGCAGCCACGGTGATCGAATGATTATCATTATTATGAATGCCGGTTTTAACAGCGGTGGTGGTAGGGAGGTTATCGTGTTCTCTGTAAGATTTGACGAAGCTCCATCTGCGTTTCTCTTTGGGGGGTTTTGGAGCTGAGGTGGTGGGAGTGGGAGATGAGGAATCAGGCTTTTTAAGACTGAGAAAACCACGAAACCATTTTGATACCTTACCCATTTCTTCTAAGAAGCAAATGGAATAGGGTGCCAGTAGTTACTTCAACATTAAAGAGAGAACCAGGAGGGAAGAGAGAGAGAGAGAGGAGTTGGAGGGAAACTCTGGAAGGAAGAAAAGAGGCGGGGAGGATGGCTTTTTGTGTAAGCAAACAGTGCGGTCATTACACGGAGCCGAGGCCCCTTATGAACCAAGGGGCACACTGATCCGCGTGCATTCAATTATTATTTTCTTCTTCAAAAAAATTTACTTTTATCGCAAAAAAATGAAAGAAAGAAAGAATTTAAGTCATTTGGGTCTGAGACCATCAATCACAGTCAACGATTGGGACCTATGGTTTTGTCTGTGTACCACAAACAACCAGTTTCAGGGTTTGTTGTCTGCTGTCATTGAATTTAAATTATTTATATCTAATTTAAACAATTTAGATTTAAAATTTTTAATTAATTATTTTTAAAAAATATTGAGAAATTATTTTTATTTTAGATTCTATATATATTAAAATAATTATTTTAAATAAATAAAAATAAAAAATTAAATTTAACTATTTAAATGAGGTATGGATAACCTAAATCTCATAAGTTTAGTGTTTATTAAAATAACAAGTATTGGGACTGATTTCGTACGGCAAGATTGTAAATTTTTCACTAAAACCTCCCACAAATTCTCCCACCCAGTTCGAATTCCCTCCCACTTTCAAATTTTCTTTTTCTTTAAGGCCTGGTGTTCACAAATCACAACAACACTGGTACTAGTACACTACCAGACTAGGTGCACTTTTAGACTAACTTTTTATTTTTATTTTTTAAAAAAAGCGCATTTTTTATATTGTATGGAATAAACATGTGTGACAATACTTTTTCTGGAGGGTACAAAGTATCACGTCCATTTCTTAATATATTCGCTCCATTTTTAATATAAAATATATTTAACTAATTTGATTATATTAAAAAAATTAGATGAATTAGCTAATTATAAAAAATATGATTTTTTTTAAATATTATAATCATCTTTCTTAATATCTTTCCTCTCTAAGATCAAAATCAACTCAATAATTAAGTCCTATATTAAGGACTGGAAGAGTAAAAATTTAAAGATTAATTTGAGTGTATTAAGAAAGTTTGTTGAGTTAGTTATTTGAAATAAATAAGTACTCGTATTATTTTTTCTAAAATATCATTCCTAACTATGTGTATTAATTATAACTACTATTTGATAGAATATTTAACATGTGTAACTATTATAATGACTGCTTTAGGAAAAAAATGAATACATATGGAAAACAAATATAAATTGAAATATTATATTTAATACTCTTTCGGTTCTAAATATAAGACTCTTATATTTAGAATAAAAAAATATTAAATTTAAAATTAAATTAATTCTTATATTAAGAATGATAATTATTTTAAGAGGTCTTAAATATCTCCAGGTCTCATTTGGCTTATCCATGTATATGGGTGTATCTACATCTAGGGGATCGAGCAGAGGCTTGAAGCCAGTCTCTTGTAATCTTCCGCATTCTCTCTGCACCAAAACCGCATCTCATAACCAACCCTCATACTACCTCTTATTCTAACTATAAAAACTAATTGACTAATTTAAAGAAATTAAAAAAATAAGTTGAGTTAGTTATTTATCATAAATAGGTATTGTCTTTCCTAAAATATCCTTACTAATCAAGTGTATTGGCTATAACTATCATTGTTAAAAGGACTACTTTGAAAAAAGACGTATAATATGAAAAACAAAGTAGATTGGATCTTATATCTAGGACCAAAATAAAAATCAAATAAGGTCTTATATTAAGAAGCGGTGATAATATTACCTCCACTTTTTAATATAACAATCAGTTAATTAATTTAAGTAAATTCAACAAACTTGTTAAATTAGCTATTTGTGATAAACAAGTGTTATCTTTTTTAGAATATCCTTATTAATCATATATATTGGTTAGAACTACGAAGACTACCTTAAAAAAAAAGACTAATATGAGAGACAGAGTGAATTGGGGTCTTATATTTAAAACCAAATTAAAAAAAATAGCTCTTATATTAAAAACCGGAGTAATATATTTTCTTCAATCCACGTGATAATGTACATTCAAATCTTAAATATAATAGTTTAGTTATCAATGCCTCGCAATTAGACCACCATCGTCCATAATTTACAAGAAAACTTATCATTGGATTCAAAAAAAGAAAAAAAAAAGAAATTTGATTATCAAAAAATCACAATGAGAAGTGACCAACAGATGTTGATATTCCTTATCCTAAAACTTTTTGCTGCATGCTCTTCAGTTATCAATAGACTTTAGAGTAATTAAATCTTTAAAAAAATTGTTTTGGAGGTACCTATGCTTTTTCTCAATTTTTAATTTAGTACCTATATGTTTTTTCCTCTCAATTAAATCTTTAATTCTGCTCTATTAACATTATTGATCCTTACACAAAGATTATAGATTCTAACAGAGCAAAGTTATAAAAACTAATATTGCAAAAAGAACAAAATTAAATGATTTAATTAAGAAAAAAATACATGAATATCAAATTAAAAATAAAAAAATACAGGTACCTTCAATATGATTTTTCCTTAATTCTTTTTTTGGGATTTATTGTAATTCTCCTTAATTTATATTGTATTGTTGTTACTCATCAATTATGTGGTCTCTATATATGTATAAAACTGGAAAATTAATATGCTTTTTAATATTGTTTCACATACTTCTCAAATGAAATAATACATATAATTAATTGAAAAAAGAAAAAATATTTTTTTAATTAAAATTATATGAGAGTTTCGTATCTCGCGTTGTGTCAGCTCACTAAGGGTAAATTTCATAACCCACAACTAATCTGTATATAAATATTATATAAAAAGTTGACACAAATTTGATAATAGAAGAATAAGAATTATTTTTTTTTCCCAAAATACCTCAAAGACGTCATGAGTTTATTAAAATTTTAATAGAATTTTAATAGAATCCACTAAGCGTGAAAGTTAAAAAAGAAAAAAGAAAGCTCATTTATCCAAAATTCCAAACACCTCCAGATTTGATTACAACTTAATGGGCAGAACATGTTTTGAGAGTCCGTTTCAAAGTTTAACTTGCCGCTGGTTTAGATTATTTATGGAGAAGTGATTTTTGTGCTATAAACAATATACATATGAAAAAAAGTTTTGTTTTGAAAATTATAAAAACAGTTATTTTAAATAGACTAACTACTTTCAAAACAAGATATGTTTAAAATAGTTTAATTTTAAATGATTCAGTTTGCATTTGATTAATTGGAGTTTCATGCATGCTCCACTCAAAGCCTCCACACATCTATTGGCATTTTTTTTCCCTTTGACTGTTTAAAACATGCGAAGGATAGACGCTTGATTCATCTTATTATTTGATATTATTATATTCTATATTTAATATAAAACCCCGGTTAATTGACTAATACAACAAGATAAAAAAATCACTAAATTACTTTAACGTGTTTATAATTATCGGTTTTTTTCAAACTAATTTAACTCATTCATATATGCTGACTAGTCAAACTATTAATACTTTTAATACTTGTAAATTGAAAACATCCCAAATTTACAAGTAAATCCTTGATATTTACAATTCAAATTCATATAATTTTCGTATTAGTTCTTTATATTTTATACAAGTCAACTTTTTAAATTTAAAAGTGAACCTACCTACTATTTATTTATTTATCCTATTATGTTAAAAATTTCAAAGCTAGGTTTATAAATTTTAAAAGTTCTTCACTTGTAATACAAAATGACATAAATTTTTTCCCAAAACAAATATAAAAAAATATTAACATTAAAGATTTACTCATAAATACTCTAAAATATTAATATTTTAATAAAAAATTCATTAAAAATTACTTTTATTGCCGGCCATGACCGATCTGTCGCCATTAATATATGACATTTTATGAGAGAAATTAATTATAACGAAGTCTTCAAGAATTTAAAATATTTTAGTAAATTCGTGATACCCAATAGGTCTTTTTCTTGACTTGTAGTTTGTACTACTACGCAATATTTCCTAGTTTTTATTAAAAACCTTCTAAATGGAGGGGGGGAAACGAAAAAAACGACGCAACGATGCGTTTTAGACTTCGGGTAAGACGCAGTTCAGTTGTTCTCATCAAATTCAAAACCGTCTTCTTCAACCATGCTATAACCGCCCACGACAGCAGTCATGCACTTGCGTTGTAAGGCCAAAATAAACGATTTTTCGATCCACACTCATTCTTTCCATCCATTTTCAACATGTGCTAAACAATTAAGCAATCTTCATTGCTCATTACAGAAGAACCCCTAATGATTTGAAATTTCGAGCAAGAAAATGGAAGTGCAGAGGACCACGATCATCTTCTTAGCCCTTTGGTTACTTAATTATCTGAATCCGCTAGATGTTGCTGGAGTTCAAATTATTTCTAAATCAAGGCTCGAGAAGTGTGAGAAAAACTCCAACTCCGACGATCTCAACTGCACTATGAAAATCGTTGTGAACATGGCTGTTCCAAGTGGCTCGGTAATCTTCACTCACTTCTTTGAACTCCCTTTCTCCCCGTGACTTCCCAGGGGTTTCTGCGAGTTTCACATGTAGTTTTGTGCGGAAATACATTTTTCCTCCACCCCTTTTGATTTCCCCGGCCCCCGCGGAAAAAAAAAGAAGAAAAAGAAATTGTATAACGTAAATTTGGCAGAAAGAGCATAATGTACTTGGATGAAACAGAACGCCAAGGGTTCACGTTATCTCTATCTCTAATCTTCCTCTGTAAGAAATACTTTATATTTGGGCACACCTAAATGACAAGTGTTATGATCATTACTTTTGTAGTGCTGGATGTAATCATGGTCAAGCAAATCAATCCTGAAGTTGCCTCTTTTAACTCTGTTGGGTACTTTTGTTTATTTTTTCCTTAATGGGCATTTGTCTTTTCAATGCTAGAGTGGAGGAGAAGCCTCAATTGTTGCGGAAATTGTAGAGGTGGAGGAAAATTCAACTAACAAGGTGCAGACATTGCGAATACCACCAGTCATAACAGTCAACAAATCTGCTGCTTATGCTTTGTATGAATTAACATATATACGGGTATGGGAATTTTCATTTCACGTTTTTCCTAACTAGTAACCTTTAGTTCACCCAAAAACAAAAAAACAAAAAAGAAAAAGAAAAAGTAACTCAGTCCTTCTTATTGGCTTTTGCTGCATGACAATCGTGTCCCCTGATACCTGTAATTTTTGGTGCGCTAAATTTGTAACACGACATTTTAACAGGATGTTCCATATAAACCAGAGGAGTATTATGTTAAGACGCGGAAGTGTGAGCCAGATGCTGGTGAAGAAGTTGTAAAGATATGCGCGAGGCAAGCCATGTTTGATTACTATTTTAATCAGAGATTTATCCTAGCCTCACAGTGTGCTGCCATATGGTTTTCACTGATAAGTTTTTGTTTGTTTTGTAGGCTGCGAGACGATGAGGGTCATGTTATCGAGAAAACTCAGGTGACATTTTTTCTATCATGTTGGATTTGCTTTAAGGCTATGAACAAAGCGTGTACCCTGAGTATTAATTTTGCATATGAACGAGTTATTTGGCTGCTTAAAACAAAATGCCAGATTTCTTTATTTGGTCATGCCTTTCAATTTGTGTGTAACATCTCTCCTGCTTTTTTTTTCCCCAATTTATTTAGCCCATTTGCTGCCCATGTGGGCCTCAACGTCGGATGCCTTCATCATGTGGAAACTTTTGTAAGTGCTTTGATGTTATTATCATAAATTTTGAGGCTAGATGGAGGCCTGGAAGTAACAGGGCTTGATGATATTGACATGACTAGTTGACAAACTGACAAAAGGAAAGGCCAACACTGCACATTGCGTGCGTTTTCCGGGCGAATGGCAAGCTTCTCCCATCTCTTTATATCCAATTGCGATTTTTCGGTGGTTTAGTTGATCCGTAAATGTCGATGAATAAATAGCATACACCATCTCTCTTCCTCAACTTATTTCTTGCTTGCAATTCAGGTTCATGTTTTCAGCATTGGGCGCCGGACATTGGGATTTAGTGTTCTGATACAGGTGAAGACTGGAACAAAAGTTTCGGTACGTAATTATTCGTTTCTCTGAATAATATAGTAGTTTAATGATATATCAATCACCTTGTGTCAGGCATTTGTATTCCATGTCATCATTCTGGGTTTCTTTACCACAGGGGACAATCTTTTGATGAGCAATGTAATTTCTATATATTTCCTTAGGTTGAATAACTGATAGGATGAAATCAATACTACCCATGGAGTTATCTGGCTTGTTATGTTGACGCGACTTTACGGGCTATTTGATTCCTTTAATTGTTGCTTTCTAATTCATTTTTGTCATAGTTCTGATTGCTTGTTTGTCTTGAGATAAGATGGCTGTTTTGCCATTTTGTTTTGGTTTTCTAAACTTCCCTTTCCTTCTGGATTTCTTTGCATTTAGTAGATATTTTATCTGTTTATATTTTGGTCTGCAGGAAGTGGTTGTGGGTCCTGAGAATAGAACAGTGACATCTGATGGTAACTTTTTGAGGGTTAATCTTATTGGAGATTTTGTGGGATACACAAATATACCTTCTTTTGAGGATTTCTATCTTGTTGTTCCAAGGCAGGTATGCTTGTTTCACTGATATAACCATAAATGACATTTATTGATTTAACAGCCATAAGCAATATATTGGAAACCAATCAAACAGTAGAATTTTTTTTTTTTCCATGTTTTCTTTGATGGCAGGGAGGCCCTGGTCAACCACAGGATTTGGGGAGAAACTTTTCTGCATGGATGCTGCTAGAGAGAGTGAGGTTTACCTTAGATGGTCTTGAATGTAACAAAATTGGTGTCAGTTATGAAGCTTTCAATGGACAGCCAAACTTTTGCTCTTCACCATTTTGGAGTTGCCTGCATAATCAATTGTGGAACTTTCGGGAGGTTGGTAAAATCAAACTGCGATATGAATGCTTATTAAATTCCTAGTAATTATGCTCTTTTCCTTCCTTTTTGGGTAGGATCTCTTCCTTCTTTTTCTAACCATATTTTCTGCACTTTCACGGGATGATTGTGTGAAGTAGTTTTTGACAGTGTTCTAGCCCTTCTACCACGTAAATATGTGAACTGAATAAACTTCCATTGGTACATTTTATACTTGTCGTTGTCATTGTTGTAATTTGCAAAGAAAATTTCTTGTCCTCAACAGGCTGACCTAAACAGAATCAATAGGAATCAGGTTCCACTCTATGGCGTGGAAGGAAGGTTTGAAAGGATAAACCAGCATCCAGTATGTTGCAATAGTTGTACTTTACATTTACAGGTTTTTATATTTCAAATTATACGTAACTTGACTTGGTGGCAGAATGCAGGGACCCATTCTTTCTCCATAGGAATCACGGAAGTTCTTAATACAAACCTTGTGTTAGAATAAGTGCCAATGACGTAGAATATGTCTACCAAAGGTATATAATATTAGTTGCCAGTATCTCTCTTTATATTTGCTAAGTAAATGATGGAAGGGATATTACAATTCAAAGCCTGATAAGGAAGCAGCATTGCCTCAAAAGAAAAATTTCACTGGAGGCGGCACTTTGGAAAAAAACAAAAAAGTGGCAGAGAAATGTGGTTAATTTTATTGGAGATGATTTTGGAGGAATGGTTTTGATTTTCCATGAAATTACAGCAGCTTTTTGGTTCTTCATATGTTAATATAAATGCTTTTCTCTAGGAGCCCTGGAAAAATTTTAAGTGTCAGCGTCCCTACATTTGAAGCTTTAACTCAATCTGGAGTTGCAACCATCACCACTAAGAATACTGGTGAGGTGGAAGCATCATATAGTTGACGGTAGTTTGCTGTTCAACTTTCCTATCATAGCTCCTCCCATTTCAGCTATTAGATAACGCCTATGCTAAGCTCAAGGGATCTATATCTGTTTCTTAAACATTCAATTAATTTATTGTTAACCTCACTTTCTGACACAGTGGTTGGTATGAATTAACTTGATTTCAACAAGCTCAGCATTATTGCTTGATTCTTGAAGGTGTTTGCAGAGCTCTGTTCAATCTCGTTTTGGTTATTTGGTTAGTTTGTTAAATTGATTGTGGTTAAAAATTCTATGATGAGCTAAGAAAATGAAAATAATAAATCCTTGATGTTTTTTATGTACATATGTTTTGTTGAGTACACCATTCTGGGGCTGCGGGTACAACTTTTTTCGGTTCTGAT